TAGAAAATGAGAGAGCAATTTTTCTAAAGTATATTAACGCAATGAGGATGAGGCAGCCTAAAATAAGTAAGTCTCATCTAAAAGCTGTCAAAAGCCATAAGCGGGCAGATCCATGCAATGTCAACTTTATGTGTTTCTTTTATCTCTTTCCAGAACCAATGACTTCCTGTTGCCAAATGCAGTATTAGAATAAGGAACACCAGTGGCCATCACTCTTCTAGGTCCAACACATTGTCTGATACATGGTAGGCACCTAATAACCATCTGTTGAGTAAACTAATAAATGAACAGATGCATGAAAAACGACAGGAAAGGAGGCCTTCCACCTCTGCACAGAAATGCAGTGTTTAGTTGGGACTTGTTGGGTGCTGTAATTCCTTTACACTGGAACACAGTGAAGGGTGGGTTATACAGATCAATCAATGTCTTCTTAATTCACATCTCCCTTAAAAACATTCTTATTAAAGATCAAATTTCATAGGCGGAACAAAATATTGAGATAGTCCTATAAGATTCTTCTCCTACGTCACAGTAATGCAGGCAAATATAGGACTTCTACAATAAATGTACCATGTCAGAATTTTGAATAAATAGTCCATTTCATACCATCTCAATAGGAAAAAAAAATGGTGGAGCAAGTGACAGCTGAATTTGGACACCTGTCCCTCGGGAGGAGGTAAAAAGAACTGCACTGCAATATTAGTATTTTAACAAGTTTAGGTTTCACAAAAGTGACTAACAGGAAAAACAAAAGAAGAACAGTCTGAGAGAAAGCAAGCTGACACAAATTTGCATCAGGTGAACTGTGTGTTATATATCGAATCTGACCATAATGCCAATAGGTTGAATTAATTCATCTTATTCTACTTATAATGCCACACTTAACGTTTGGCACATGTGTGCCTATGTGTGAAAATTGATACAAATGAAATTAGAAAAAATGTTGGTAGTTTAAATCTCATTAATAGAAAAAAAATAAATCAGAAAACTGATTGATGATAATGTCATCTTTAGACCAGGAAGAACCTTACAAGGAAGGTGAGGAGGATCTTTTCTCCGGAGGTATTTACAGTGAAAACGAGCAAAGAACTGAGAAATGGAAAAGAATAAATTCCTTGCTGATTTAAAAAGCCCAATATTTTCTCTCTCATTTCTATAATGCTGTGAACAGGGTGTAGGGGATCAAGAGATTGTTGAACCCAAATACAACCCTATATATTGTAGTTATTACAGAAATCACCTTCAAGCTTTCCAAACGATTCAAAGCACCAGCAAAAACCACCTGAGATAGGCTTATCTCATAGGATAACTCTCTCCTTTGCAACTCAGTGTTTTATTTAATAACACCGCTATGACACTTGTTTACCTTATTATATAATATCTCTACATAATGCAGAAAATATCTATTTCACAGATATCAATACTGCTGCCTTTGAAAAGGTCCAAAGATACAGTATGTTTCTGACACAGCCCAGGACTTAATAAATGGCAGATGTACTTATTATGGTGATGTTCCTTACTATGATGCTATTATTATTTCTTATCTTACAAACCCATCTTCCAGCTGAGAATAAGACTATGTTTTTCATCTTTGCATCCCTTGCAGCCCAAGCACAGTGACTTTTACAAGCATTTGATGAATTTAATGTTAACTGAAAGGTCGAAGCTTATCTTTAAACTAAACTAGTTTATCTCATGAACTGACCTGTTTGTATCTCAAGGAAAGAATAGGTATCATCTCCCATCACACTGGTGGAGGACAACACTCCCTCTGAAAGTAGCTGCAGTCATATTTAATAACACAGAGACTTCAGTTAGCTCTGAACTAAAATGCTGTAATATTTAGGAATGAAAAAAATACCCAGGAATGCCAATGTAATTGCTTTAGGTTATAAATTCCCTATTAATGGTTGTTCTCTGTCGGGCAGGGAGGAGGTTGAGAGACGAGGTTCATGTGAAATAGCCAGTCTCATCCAATCCAAAGTGATATGAAAGTTATATTAAAAGACCATAGCTGCTAATATCTGTTGGCTTTCTTGTGGGTGGGCCACTGTCTCATGCCCTAATATGTGTTAGATTTTAATCTTAACATCTCACAAATGCACGTACTTTTTATTTTTATAGATGATGAAACAGGTTAGAGAGATTCATAACCTGGCCCCAAATCACATTAATAATAAATAAGAGAATCAGGCTTTGAGTTCAGATCTACACAGTCCCAAGTTTGACTCCTACCTAACATGTGTTCTTAGCAACACTCTGAGTTCGCAAATCTCCAGCTATTTAGAGGCCATAGTTTTACCTCTAGGAGCAAGTGCTATGACTTATGTTCAAGACCTTTCAATACAACACAAAATGATTAGCTTCTCTCCCTTTCTCTAAGCCCTTCCCACCTGCTACAGTACCTGGAAATCTAGGTACCGGCACGCTTCTTAAAGCACTTTGTAGGCTGTGTTCGTGTCTGAGATGAGTAACAAGTTCAGAGAGCCTGTTTATTTATGCCACCTACTCTCTGACAGAAAGGACCATGTGAAAACAGTGTTTATTAGGAGAAAGAGGATGGAAGGGCGTAATCTCCAGGAAGCAATCCCAGTCAGGGCCAACAGCCTTCAGCAGCAATACTGCACTACTGCCCTGCAGCAAGAAAGTCTCAACCACCCACATTCTTATTCATCTACAGAAACCCAAAAGGACAAAACTATCGAATGTTTTAAAGGAACAAGGTATCAGCTAAGTAAGAAATGGCACAGTTCCACATAAAAAGCAGGAAGGCTTGTTCTCCAAAAATGCCCCTTGGCAAATATTTATGGGGTGACAGCACAAATAATAGGGCCTTGATTAGGGGGTTACAAAGAAGACGGACACCCCTGAGCCCGGATGATGTTAGCCATCAGCACAGTGCTCTTCACTTTCCCTGCTCCAGTCTCTCATGGTTTATAAAAATATTTGAGGAGTATGCCTAAGGTTGGAATCAGCCTCACCTCTCTCTCAACTTCATCTGAAAACCTGAAGCTGCTGAAGTCCCCTGCCAGAAGAGGGCTCACCCGCCCCACTATGCCCAATCTAACTTCCCAAATAGATCTATATTGTTCGCATTATGTGCTTTTCATTGACATATAATCAACCTAGAGATTTAGGTTAGCTCTGAACTAAAATGCTGTAATATTTAGGAATGAAAATAATACCCAGGAATGCCAAATACAGAGTCACAGGCTTGAGTAAACAAACTCTCTAGGGAAAAAAAACTCTACATGTCTAAAACTTGCCACCAACCTTCACGGTACTAAACAATATAAAGCTCCTTTGGGCTTCCTGAACCTTCCTCATAACAGACCTTGCCCTAGGATTACCTTCTTGGCTTATCTGTTATCTAGTCATACCCAAAGCCAGCCCCCAGCCATAATAATCTCCCTACCATATACCATCCTGCTTGTAAAACTTCTTTGAATAAAACTTTTCAAAATGATAACACAAGATCAGCATGATATCTGAAATGCAAACAAAAATGTATGACTATCAGCTAGCATTATAAAAACCATTTTTGGAGGAAAGTCATGAATGATATTCACAACTACAAGTCAGAAGGGCTGCCCTCCGTGTTTCAAGGAGCAGAGAAAATAAATCTACAGGAAGGCCTTCTGTATATCCTCCCTAAAAATGATTTTTAAAAAGAGAAACTGCCATTTATCCACGTGAGATATGACTGGTTTTCAAAGTAATGGGTAAAAATGACCAAAACCTTGATTGTCTTCATTATGGCTCACATAAGGCACACAAACTCTTTTTTTTTTATATTCTAAGTACAGAAAATTGCTTCATTTCTCGAGTAAATATATGCTAGAAACTTGCGGATATCTCAAGAATGCTTTGTAGCTAAAGAAAGTAACATCATTGCCTACTCATTTTGCCTAATTTGCTAGTCTCCCAGCAACTTTGTGCTAACACTTTCATCCCATTTTAGATCCTAGGATAAGGCAATAGTCCAGATCGCTGGAAAGACTCAACCTCCAGCAGTTCACTAGGCCACTGAAGCCCCAGGATGGAGTTCCTCTCCAGGACACCCTCCTGGTAATATACATGTTACGTGCATTTCACTTATCTTCTCCAAGTTACATTCCAGTAACTAAGCTTCAGAAGCTTCTTATGAATTGTTTATGTTGTGTTTTAAAGCTCCATCAGCTGTTGGGATGATTTGCAATATTTTTCTTTTTGGTTAAGCAGGATTGGTGAGCATTACTGGGCCTTTTGGTGGAATCCTTGCTATTTAAAATTCCTGCTGCTGGGATTAAAGGAGATAATGTCTTTGAAAGCTTTTTGTAAACTGTAAAGTCCTAATCAAATGTAGTGTGCTGTTATAACATTAACCATCATAGCAATAACCATAAACCAGCTGTAACGGGGGCTTTAAAATGCTGAAACCCATTTGGGTCTTGTCTTTGCTCCATTCCCACCCCCAGGGCCTACAATGGTACCCAACATATGGGAGTCTCTCAAGGAAGTTTTGTTTGGAGGAATAAATCAGTGACTCAGAAACATCACATGGTTTTCCAAAGTAATGTCCATGGGCAAAAAGAAGCTAAGTATGACAATTTAAATAATGAACATACTCTGCCAAAAATACTGGGAAGAAATGCTATAGAACAAAGCTCTTCGAAAGAGAATTAATTTGATAATGAAATCTGGTCCTTTATAGTCAGACTGGGAAGGAGAAGGAGTACAGACAGGTGCAGAAATTTATTAGTCCAGAAAACGTTAGTCCAGGATGGTTTAGAGAAGGAGGCTGCCATCCCAGAAAAAAGAAGGGAGGCTACAGTTTGAGAGGGAGTACCAAACAAAAAAAACAAAACAAAAAACCCCACAAAATTGGCAAAAGCTACTCCTGCAAAGAACATTATAAACGCAGGCTTTTTATCTGCACTGTGTCTTTAAAGTGGTGGAAATGACCAATTCTATGTCTTAGGAGGGAGGTGGCATGAAGCCAGGAAATGACTGAGGAAGGGATACTGATATGAAATGATTTATTTCCGGAAAACGCTCTTGTAAGCGTTTGCAGGAATAGTTCTGGTTACTAGAGGTGTAGTCTATTTTAGGCACCTATGCATAGGGAGGAGTGAACGAGTGAACAAGTTGGTGGGGATGAAAATAAAAAGGGAAGTGGTAGCTGCCAGGAACAGGGGCCTCATTCATCAGACTCAGAAGCCTCAAGGATGAGAAGAGAAATTCCGGGGTGGCCGGTTACTCAGCAAGAAAACGAACACTGGCTTGCTGGCTCAGCACTTAACCTGAGATGAGGATATCCTAACAGCCCTTTTTCTCTAAGGGGTAGGGTAGGACGGGGTGAGGCCAAAACGAGAGGGGGAGGAAGGCCTGCCACCCGGGAGGTCCGCAGGACTCAGCAGCAGGGAGGATCTTGCACCAGCGCTCCGCTCCGTTCCAGAAAATATCCTATTTCTGACCATCAATCAGCGTTAAGCCAGTTTGGGGGCTGAGCTTTAGGCACAGGCAGTTGCCAGTAGCAACAGGGCACACGCTCCTGGTGAGCTGGGCGGGAGGTGGCAACAAGGGAGGGGCCGCCTGGGCAACTGGCCTGGAGCTGGGCAGACAAGGTCAGGGATCTCCCCCACACGCGCAAGGGAGGCAGTGCGGAGGGTGGGGGAGGGGGGATCGTGGCATTAGGTGGGGACAGGCGCGCCCTGCTGGGGCCGGGCCAGGGAGTGGCTCAGACCTCTGACCTCGCTGGGGAGCAGGGAGGGAGTTTTCCTAGTGGCACTGCTATGCCCCTGCCAAACCCAACGGCCTCCCAGCCCCTGGGAAGGCGCCACTCCGGTGGCCCCTAGGCACTGGAGTCAAAGCCAAGGGGCAGGAGAGGCGCTGGCCCTGTGCTTGGGAGGACCACAGAACTCAACAGCTGCTCCTCCCCTGCAGCCCCTTTACACCCCCACCCTTTAGGAGTCTCTGGAAGATGCCAACGTGGAAGTGTTTCCGCACGTGTGTGTGGTTTCATTTGTGCTTCCCACACAAAAGCGAGGCCCCACAGGTGGAGAGGAGGGCGTGTGTGCGTGCGTGTATAGCGGGGCTCGGGCTGCGCGGGAGCTGGGCGGGTATGCGCACACACGGACTGACTCCCACAAGCTGTCCCGCTTCAGGTGTCCTGGCTCGGGCTTTCAGGGAAGGGAGAGCCCCTAACCTCCTGCCACCTCCCAAAACTTCTCCCCCTGCCGTTGGGCTATGGTAAAGGGGAAAGGATGCAGGATCTTTAGGGAGGTATATAGTTAGAGGGCAGAGAGGGGCCAAGGAGACCCAGGCGGGAGGCGCGGAAGCATACAGTCTGCGGGGAAAAAGGGCGGAAAGGGGTAGTTGGAGCCACGCGCTGAAGGGCTGGGGTCAGGGTGGCGGCGCGCCGCGGACGCGCCTGGGCGAGGAGTGGGCTGGCGTCTCCTTACCTGGCCTTCGGTGGAGCATGCTGCTGCGGGCTGGGGGCGGGGTGGGCGCTGCGCCCCCAGGGGTTGACCCTGCAGCGCCTTCACTTCGGGGGCAGCAAGGCGCCCGCTGCAGAGCCGGGAGTTGCCAAACTTGCCATGTCCAGAGCGCGGAGGTAGCCGGGGCCACGCGCGCACCGCAGCCCGGGCACCTCGCGCTCCTCCGCTTTGTTGTGTTCCGCCGCCAGTCCCCCTGCGCCTGCCTCCCAGTGTCCCCGAGCCCTCTCCTGCCGCGGGACGTTTTCCTGGCGCTCAGGGAGGCCCCTTGGGTGGGCAGTGCCACTTTCCTCCTGGAGGCGCGCGTTAAAGAGCTGCCCGGGAGCACCCGGCAGGCGGCTCGGCTTGCGCTCTGATGAAGAGGCAGGGGCCCATCGATTCCCACCCCCTACCCACTCCCCCTCCCCTCCCCTCCGCCGGGCCCCCCCATCAGAAGCTGCTTAGGATCGGCGCTGTCAAATCCAGCCCATCTGCTGCAATCATAATCAGTCTCAACCGAACGGTTCTGACAAATCTCCGCCTGGAGCTGGAGTTGGAGAAGCTGGAGAGTGAGGGGCGGGGAAGGGAGGTGGGGGTGAGGGGACGATGGGGACCGGGCGCCCTGAGAGGGGGCCTGGAGACTTCTATTGTCTGCCCCTAACGGAGGAACTGAAAAGGGAAGCAGGGATCCAGAAGGGGAAATAGTGCTTTCATTTCCTAGTAAGAAAAAGAAAATCTATTCCCGCAGGTTCCTGGTTCCCTTCACGCCCCCACCCCCAACCTCAGCTCTGTCTGGGTGGAACGAATTTCTGCTAATGAACTAAAGAAACAGGTCCCTTAATCTTATCATGGAGCTGACCCAGAGACTGGCACAGATATCCAAAGTATCATAATTGGCAGGTAAGAGCTGGAACTAACAGCCATTTGTCTGGAGTCAGAAGTTGGTTCCCAAGTGCATTTGGGAATAAAGCTCTTGGGGGGAGAACTGCCGTATAGTGTAATTGGCCAGGAAGCTTGGCCCTTGGCCTCCTGTTGGCATTTCCAGAGATAAAAGGAAATCTGCTTTGGGCAAGAAAACGCTAAACTCCGCTTAGTCCCATTTTAAATTTAAAAGATTCGCATGATTTTTTTCATTTTCTCATGAAAATGCTATTTTTCAACAAATGCTATTTTATTAGAAAATAATGACTTCTAAAATTGAAAATTTTCCAAGCAGAAATTGCTTCGTCTGTAGATGAAATGAGATGCTCCTCTCAGTAATGTACTTTGAACCATTCCAAAAATTCCACTTTAATACAATCACATATATTTGTACTGGTGATAGATTCACAAGGATTATCTCAAAAAATGTTTTAAAGTATAATATAAATGGCAGTAGTCCTAGAGACGTATAAACAAGTCTTAAAGCATGGAAGAACACAACCAATGAGATTATGCCTGGTTTTATACATTCTTCTAAAGTGCTGGGAAGTGTCCAATTACCTTGAATGACAGTATTTGTTCGGGAAATAATTTGTAGGATAAACAAATCACCAGTGGAAAAGTTGAAGAAAATTTTAAGCCATTTATTCAGATAGGTATAAGAGTTAAGCAAAAATAAATATAATTTACTGTGAAAATTGAATAAAATTCTAAATTAGGGCCCAAATCATTCTTTTGCTTTATGCTGTACTTGAGAAATGTGTGCAAGCCGCATTAAGCACTCACTTATCTAAGCAGAGACTATGTTTTCCACTTATTTTATAGCCCAGTGGTGCTCACAACAGCACTAGGCAACTATGGACACTCTATGAATACTGATAGTTTGAAATTTTGATTTACAGGTCAGAATTAAAACTACATCATGGTGACTTTATAGCTGAGGCAAAGTTGAGCTCAAGTGTTACTTTCCCAGTAAGTAAATCATGTAAGTCAAGGACAACTACTGGTCAGATTTTACAATATTTTTATGAATATTTAAAAGTTTGGAGTTTTTCATTGATAATTTGTTTAATGTGTTTCTCAGTATTAAATACACATTTTGCTAAAATTAACATGATGCCAAGAAATGAATATTTCAAAAAGGGTCCTCTCTTCTAGAATGAAGTATCACGCTGGTGACTAATTTAACTGACGTTGTCCAGGAAATTGCTATTGTCCAGGAAGAAAAGAGCTGAGCTGAGTGTCGGCCACTGGGCTTCTGGCACCATCCTGCACAAGAAATTGATAAGTTCTGCTGTGTTATTTCCTAGCTTGGTGGTCTCAGTTGCATCCCAGCTAACTTTAAACTGACAGGCCCACCTCCAATTTATTAATTCCTTGGTCTTCAGAATATATCATCTCATGTTTACTCAATTATTTATTGAACAATCACTACGTGTCAGTGTTGGAATATATGAATGAAAAATCAAATAAAATTTTTTTTATTTTGTGGAGCTTACATTCTGGAGAAGAAGACAGAAGTTAGAAAATACTACATAAGTAAATTATAATGTCTATTAGAAGGTAATCAGTGCAACAGAGAAAAATAAAGCAGAGTGGGCTGGGTGGTGCACAAGCTTAAATACAAGGGTGCTCAGTAAAAATATCACTGAGAATGCTCACCCTGAATAAATGATTAAAGGAGTTGAGGGAGCAGGCAAGCCATGCAAATATCTGGGAAGATGGTCCCAGGAAGTGGAAAAGCAGGTGTAAGTGGCCCTTAAATATGATTGCACCTGGCAAGGTCTAGGAACATTAATGAAGCCTTGGGAATGGGACACAGTGAAGGGAGAGGGTTAATGAGGGTAGGCTTAGAAGACAGATCATTGGGTGGGGCCAATTAAAGGATCTGGGATTTTACTCCAAATGACAGCAGAGGACACAAGACACAGAGGGAGTGACATGATCTTCTGACTTTTTAATGGATCACTCTGGCTGCCATGTTGAAAATTATAGAAGCAGAGGAGGAAGCAGGGAGATCTGTTATTAGGCTATTGCAAGAATCTAGGTAAGAGATGATGGCTTGGACAGGGTGATAGCAAGAAAGATAATGAGAATTCGTGGCGATTTTGAATTACTTTGAATTTAGAGCCAACAATGAGTGGCTTGAAAGAAAAGAGGGAGTAAAGATTAACTCCAAGCATTTGATCCTAGCAACCAGAAGGATGAAGTTGCTATTAATTGAAATGAGAGAGAGTATGGGTGGAGCAAATTTTGGTGGAAGAATCAAGTTCAGGCTTAAATGGGTTAAGACTGGAATGCCTATTAAGTTAAATTTTAAAAATAATTTATTTAAAGCTCTTAGAATAGTTCCTGGCTTTTCGTAAGTGCCATACAAATATTTGTGGTGGTGGTTATTATCATTATTAATGTTTGCCAACCAAAATGAGATGTTGAATAGACAATTGTACCATGATTGTGGTGGTAGTTGCAAAACTATATTTTGTTATAATCCAATTGTACACTCAAAAATTGGTGAATTTTATTGTACGTAAACAAAACCTTAAAAAACTTTAAAAAAAACAAATAACTCAGTCTAATATTTTAATAGGAGAGTATGGAACTTTCCCATCTGAGAATAAGCAGCTTCAGAAGTGTCACCATTTTGTATACCCATTGAAATAACTGACCGAAATAAAGATCACCAATAGATACTAAAGCCATTAAGTAAACGTTTCATGGAAAATATTGAGGTAGGTGAATAGGGTCTGGAGGCAGGGAACCTAAGGCCAATTCACACTGACTTCCTAAAGCTAAATCAAAAGGAAAACCCTGTTTCCACACCTAAGTAACAAAAGTACTGGAGGCTGCTCCCTTTGCAAACCACCCCCTCCTTTCTGCATGGCAGATGGAAAATTGAAAGTATCTTTGATTGGTTGCTTTCCACAACCAATCAGACGCTTGCATAGGGTGTAACCTTTGTAACTTCACTTCAGCCTGATTGGCTGCTTCCCTCTGACTGATTGCCGGCCACTACTTCATTTACATGGGATGTACACCAAGTAACCAATGGGAAAACTCTAGAGGGCATTTAAACCCCAGAAAATTCTGTACTGGGGTTCTTGGATCCTATTCTTGGACCCACTCCCACCCTGTGGAGTGTACTTGTGGTTTTAATAAATATCTGTTTTTGTTGCTTCATTCTTTTTTCTTTTTTTTTTTTTTTTTTTTTTTTTTTTGAGACGGAGTCTCGCTCTGTCACCCAGGCTGGAGTGCAGTGGCATGATCTCGGCTCACTGTAAGCTCCGCCTCCCTGGTTCACCTCATTCTCCTGCCTCAGCCTCTCGAGTAGCTGGAACTATAGGTGCCCCTCCACCACGCCCAGCTAACGTGGGGAGGGAGGGAGGGAGGGAGAGAGAGAGAGAGAGAGAGAGAGAGAGAGAGAGAGAGAGAGAGAGAGTGTGTGTGTGTGTGTGTGTGTGTGTGTGTGTGTGTGTGTGTGTGTGTGTAGTAGAGACGGGGTTTCACCGTTTTAGCCAGGATGGTCTCGATCTCCTGACCTCATGATCCACCCGCCTCGGCCTCTCAAAGTGCTAGGATTATAGGCGTGAGCCACCGTGCCCGGCCTTGTTGCTTCATTCATTCCTTGCTTTGTGTGTTTTATCGAGTTCTTTGTTCAGGAAACCAAGAACCTGGACACCCTTCACCAGTAACAATAGAATATTCTAACTACAAATACTGCCTCCAGACTTTTTGTTAACTGCGAAGGGGAAAAACTGTATTAGACAAGGTAGAAATCACCTGACATGTTTCTTCTTATGTGATGCTGTATGAAAAGTTTTTTGCAATATATTTTTGCAAAAAAAAAAAAATGTGTAATCTGAGTCTAAGCAAGGCCTTTGCTATAATTCCCACCTTACAGGAAATAAAGATGATAGAGGAACAGATAAATTACATCACAAAGAAACCATGAGGCATAGCAGAATATGGAACTTGCTAGAGGTCTTCAAAAAATCAATGTTCATAGAGAAGAAAAAAAGTAGAGGGACTATCATAGATTAAAAGAGATATGACAAATGCAACTAAGGGGATTGGACATCAGTGCAAAATAAGCAGCTATCAAAGACATTTGGGAACGATTAGAGAAATTCAAATGAGACTGGTATTAGTTGATATAATGGAATTTTCATTAATTTTTCTGGGGTGTAAAAGTGATACTGTGGTTATAAAGAAAGTAGTCCTTATTTTTAAAAGACACATACTAAAATATTTGGGGTTGAAGTGTCATGGTATCTACCACTCACTTTGGAAAAATGTATATGAAGTAAAGATATTAATATTTGTTGATGCTAAGTTGTGCGCAGATGAATGTTTTATTATTCTGGTCTTTTAATTTTTCTATGTATTTGAAATTTTTCTTAATAAAAATTGAACAAAATATACCTATAAAAATCCATGCATCAAAAAGTAATTATAAGAAAATTAGTAACATTTAGAACTTGATGTCTCAAGAATATCCAAATTATAAGATGGAAAGGAGTATGTAGAAGGAGGTTAATAATTTTAGTGGACATTCTAGAAATGAAGAAAAATGGAAATAAATGTTCAAAGTACCCAACCAAAACAGAACAAAAAAAAAAAATAGAATAAAATAAATGAAATCAAAGTCTAATAAAAGAGAACACAAATCAATACAGGATCAATAAAACCAAGTCTGGTCATATGAATGAAAAACAGTGGAGACATAAATCAATAAGCTTAGGGATAAAAAAGACTATATAACTAAGGGTAAAATAGATTTTGAAAATAGGACTACTTTACTTTGAGCAATTTTATCTGTTTTCAAATTTATTGACATAAAATGATCAATGTCCTAAAATAAACTTTTAATAAAATTCAATAATCCATGGAATCTTGAACAATCAAACAGATTGAGTCAGTAGTTGAAAAAAAATTACTGCTGCATAAACACAGGTTCAAAATTTTAAATTTATTCCTTTAGATAAAATTTACTGAAGTTGAATTTGTTTTTAATATATGCACAGTTATGCAACCATCACCATTCCCTTAGAACAATTTCTTTACCCACAAAAAGTACCTATTAACATTCACTCCTCATTCTGCAGCCAGAGGCAACCAACAATCTGCTTTCTATCTCTGTAGAACTGCCTCTTCTAGACACTTAGTATAAATGGAATCATACGATATTTAGACCTTTCTCTGGCTTCTTTCACTTAGCATAATGTTTTCAAGTTTTCTCCATGTTGTAGCATGTATTGGTACTTCACTCCTTATTTCCAAATAATATTCCATTGTCTTCATGTACCACATTTTATTTATCCATTCATCAGCTAATGGGCATTTGGGTTGTTTCTGTTCTTTAGCTATAATAAATAATGCTTTTGTAAACATTCATGTACAAGTTTTTGTGTGGGCATATGTTTTCTTTTCTTCTAGGTATATACCTAAGCTGTGGAATTGCTGAGTCCTATAGTAACTCTGTTTAACATTTTGAGGAACTGCCAAGCTAGTTTCCAAAGCAGCTGCACCATTTTACATTCCCACCAGCAATGTCTGAGTGCTCTAATGTCTCCACAGCCTCTCCAACACTATTATCCTTTGTTTATAGCCATGCTAGAGGATGTAAAGTGATGTCTCATGAATTTTATTCACATTTTCCTGATGGCCAATGACATTCAGTATCTTTTCATGTGCTTATTGGTCATTTGTATGTGTCTTCTTTGGAGAAATTTCTTTTCAACTCCTTTGTCCATTTTCACATCGGGTTATTTGTCTTTTGATTGTTAAGTCATGGGTTCATTACCCAATCTTCACAAAACTTGAAAAAATACAGAAACTCTAATAACCCATATCTCACAGAGAGTTACAGGGAATTTTCTAAAAAGGGGGAGGAGGAGAAAGAAGGAAGAGTAGGAGGGGGAAAGGGGAAAACTAGGGGAAGGGAAGAGGAGGAAAGATTTTTATCAGGTTAGAAGGACTCTGATACCAAAAGTAAATATAGGCTGTATGGGAAAGGAAAATTACTGAGACTCTCAAAAATTCTTAATAAAACTTAATCCATCAGTGTAGAAAATTGTAACAGTAGCAATAATAATGGTTATAATTAAATGGTGTTGTTCAATAAGATTTATCCTGTAATGCAAATATGATTTGGCCCTAGAAAAATCTACTAATTTCCAAAAAAATAATCTTTGGGGGAAAATAAAAAAAAAATAAAAAGATAATCATTTCAATAGATGCTGGAAAGTTTTAATAACATTCAACACTTATTTATGGTTTAAAAAAAAATTAAAAAACATTTTACCTCCCCAGGAATAAAAGAGAATGCCCTTAACCTCATAAAGGTTGTCAACAACAACAACAACAAAAATCTATAACACGCCTTATATTAAATAGTTAAATTAAAAAACATTCCCTTTAAATTTTTCCTCTGGACAAGGATCTCTCCATCACCACTTCATTTTCTCTAAGGTCTTAGAGCAGTTATTATTTA